CCACCCCCACCCCCACCCCCACCCCCACCATCGCCACCGCCACTGTCATTGCTGCCACCACTACCGTCGCCACCGCCACCGCCACCGCCACCCCCGACACCACCATCATGGCTACTGCTACCAACGCCACCACCATCGTCGCCACCGCTACCACCACCACGATCATTGTCATCCACAACAATCATCACCGTCTCCTACTATCACCATTGTCGCCTATCACCTTTCACCCCCATTACAAACCGATGCTTCAATATTTTTATCTCTTCTTTATGTTTGTGATTTGATTTTGAATATGAATACAAATATGTTTATTGTTTAATATTTTTTATTATTATGTGCCTTCAGACACAAATAATAACTAGTATAACTATACAATGTGATTTCTCTATTCTCCTTTTTGTTTTGTAAGTTTTATCCTATTCTATATGTATTCCAATTTTCAACTGTACCCAAATCCCTCTACCCAAAAAATATGTAATAAATTCCCACAAACTTCCAAAAATCTGGTGCTATTAACTGTTGTTCCTAACTGATAATTCTGCTTCTTGTTTTTTCCCCTTCTTTGGGCGGGAAATTCAATGCATTAATTCTTCAAAGGCAACTTACAAATTTGCCTACTCAAAAATTTAAAATCTCTCCCTTCCTCAACTCTATAAATATAATCTATTGCACCAATTGATAACAACATACCAAATCAAGCCCTTCTTCTTCTTCTTTTTCATTTGGTTCAACAACGAGAGGGTGTTCAAGTTAATTTACATTCATTAAGTCTTTCATTCTGTAATCCTAATTGATAACCACAATTTCCAAATGGATTGGAGGGCAATAACATTACCCACTAAGCTGTCCTTACTATTGCTTCTAGCCATGTTTATATGCTCACAATCTGAAACAGCCCAGCTCAAAGAAACCAACATGATCCTACATTTCCAAGATTGGTCTGCAGGAGCAAATGCCACCGTTGTCCCGGTCACCGGCATTCCCGGCCACCTTTGGTCCTTCGCCGACTTTGGAACTATTTTTTGCACTGATGATCCAATAACAGAAGGCCTTGAAGGGAGCTCGGCTCAAATTGCAAGGGCTCAAGGCATCTATGTGACTTCCGCATTGGATGGTTCAAATACACATGTATTGATATCGATCGTGTTCACTAATAAAGAGTACAATGGTAGCACCTTGGAAATACAGGGTTCCAGTCGACAATTTGAGAAGGTGAGAGAGGTTGCAGTGGTCGCTGGAACTGGAAAATTCCGATATGCAAGGGGTTTTGCTACCTTTGAAACGGTTTATTTGGACATGACAATTGCTTATGCAGTGATTCGGTGTAATATTACCGTGCAACATTACTAAGGAAAACATTGTCTCCTACTTAAGCCAGTAAAAGTGAAAGCGATCTCGTATAACATATGGAATGACATGTATTCTTGAATCTGATGTCAAAGCAAAAAATAAAGATTTGAGGTATTGCTTGGAATAATGATGAAGTCTATCTATTACTAACAGAAGTAATGATCTCGTCTTGCTTGTTATAAGAGAAAGAAAGTTTTGAAGTCTATCCATACCTAAGAGAAGTGGTGATCTCGCCTTATTTGCTTGAAGAGGGAGAAAGTTTCCATAGCACATTTTTAAATAAATAAAAAAGTGACTAGTTTTAGAAATAAATAACAAATTCAGAGAAATGAAATGGCCTACATTTTTTTTGTTTCAGTATATATGAGTTGTAGAGCTTCAAGCTGTTTCAACACATTGACTACAGGATTGCTTCTATCCCTTTGCCGATGAACACAACAGTCATAAAAAATTTGTCTACAAAACCCTAATTCTCATAGTGCTAACAAGATATTTTAGATAACAAGACTTTAATGGTTGAGTGTCACCAAAACATACTTTGATTGACCCAATATGTGTGAGATCCGGAAGACAAAAACATGTACAAAAACTTGAAAAGTCATACACATCATTCACCATCCACTTTGGAAGATATTATATATTGCTCCAATGTTCCTCACAAGCATCCACATAGTATCTATCACAAAACTCTTACGCAATCCAGCACATTTTTTGTGGGAAAATCTATGCCGGTGGATATTATAACGTCATAGAGAGGTATCTACCCCACCTCTCAATCCTCAAACACATGATTTTAGTTAAACAAGTGGACTACATCTTTGCTTTCAACTAATAAACTAGGCTTTATGATCTGTTTGTTCATACTAAAATCTTTCAGCATGTGGGAAAAGTACAGAATAGGGTACCACTTTAAAAAGAGGAAACAGGTCAACAATCTTCAAGCCCACAATTATCTTAGAAAGAGACAAAATTTAACAAAAAACAAAGATAAAAATTATTCATGGACAGCATTGTCTGTTTTGTGGTGAAAAAATTTAGAAAAGCATAAAATTTAACAAAACGGCACCGTTTTGTCCTAACAGCACAGTTTGCTGTTTTCCTTTAACAGAAGAGGAGCCGCACCCATCTTATTATATAGATGTTGACTTGACCCATTTAATTAATTGTCACAGATGATTTTATCAGTACCAGTGTCTGCCATTCGGAATAACACTCGGTCGCAAGAACTAAAAATTTAGGATTGAACTATACTCTTTCTCAACCAAAGTCATCACTCTTAGGCCTCCCATAACATAATACACACCGAAAAGAAAGTAAGTAAAAAATCTTTTAATTCTACAATGATTCATACGATATTACATTATGAAATAGAAAATTGAAAAAAAAATAAACATTTTTCCATATAATACCACCTAAACGGTATTGTAGTATCGAATTCCGTTCAATATTATTTGACATTAACTTCACCAATTTATCATCAACACTAATGAATTGTGCTATTTTCATATCGTGTTCAGAACTATTTAATTTTATATTAAATTCTATCGCATTACCGTGTCGCAAAAAAAATTATCACCCTAACAATAATGCTGGCAAAGTCATGTAGAGTTGTTATAATACATTACTTAGAGAAGTAGTAATCTCATCTTGCTTGCTCGGAGAGAGAGAAAGTTTCCTAAACGAGCTAGCAGGTCAACAATAAATAAAAACTAGGAGTGAAAGCGCCTACCTGTTTTACTTTCAACGTGCATGAGTTGTAGAGATTCAAGTTGCTTTTACAGTGACGAGCCCAAATTTAGTTGGCCAGGTTCAATGAATTAATCAAGTCTAAGTCAGTTAAAAGACGGTTCAAGTTTGCTTTGTCAATCCGACTCAATCCAAGATTTAAGAAGTTCAGGAAGATAAGAACACGTGAGAGAGAGATTATCGAAATATGCACTCATGAAGATCAATGCTTCCATAATTGTACTTATCAAAGAAGTAGTGTCCTCTCACTCACGTCACCACCCCACTAAACATATATATTGTAAGTTCTCTTCACATGGAGAGGCATCTCATCTCTCACAACACACCTCTTTGCACCACACTACACATATAGTTTCTCTCTCCTTACTAATGTAACTCTCCTGGAGCTCTCTATGTAACTTTATTCATCAATAAAGACTTTCGGTCACCGCTGCCGTTTTCGGAGAGTGGAATAGGTCACCCGAATCGAACCACTATATATTTGTATGTTAGCTCTATATTTACTGTTTTGTTATTGATTGTCTTATTTATTGTTCATTAATTACATATCTTTGTATACTTGACTGTTGATCTTACACGAAACCAATTTGTGTATCATCAATTTGGCGCCGTTTGTAGGTATATAATACTTAGACCTTTTAAATTTAAAAATATTACACTTAGACCAAAAATATTCTAGTCAAATATAGAATATCAAATATTTTAAATTTTACAACTAAAATTCATGTTCTATTGTATTATTTATTAAAATAAAATAAAAATTTTAATTTTAATTTTTTCTTAAAAATCGTAATTAGTATACAATTATACTATCTATTGGAATAAAATTAAAAAATCAAACAAGGGATCTAAGTCATTTATTAAAAAAAAAAAGTCATTTATAATAGAACATGAATTTTATAACCAAAATTCATGTTCTATTATGTCATTTATTGAAATAAAATCAAAAATAAAAATTTAGATTTTTTTAAAAAATTATAGTTAGTATATAATTATACTATCTATTAGAATAAAACTAAAAAAAATTAAACAAGGGGTCAAACTGTAATTGACACAATATATTTTAATTTTAATTGGGGTAGTTTGATATTTTAATTTGATCATTTAAATGACCAAATTAATTCCAATTGACAATTTATATATTAATTACAATATTTTAAGAAAAAATTGAATTTTTATTTTTGATTTTAGTTTAATAAATGATAGAATATAACATAAATTTTAATTGTAAAATTTAAAATATTTGATATTTTATCTTTGATTGAAGTATTTTTGACCTAAGTACAACATTTTAAACTCAAATGATTTAAATATTATATACCTACAAACTTTAAAGGGGTTTAAGTGTAATTTATTAACATATATAGTTACATCAGGTGTCTAAGTGTTACGCACGTACAAACTTCCAGGTGTCTGTGTGATATTTCAAATGTCAGAGAGTCTGAGTGATTAAATGACAAACTTTAAGGGGACTGAATGTAATTCTCTCCAAATAAAAACTAAGAGTGAAAGTGCCTACCTTTTTTACTTTCAATGTGCATGAGTTGTAGAGCTTGAAGTTGCTTTCACACTGATGAGCCCAAATTTAGGTGGGTCAGGTTCAACGAATCAAGCAAGTTCAAGTCAATTAAAAGACAGTTCAAGTTTATTTTGTCAATTTGATATAATCCAAGATTCAAGGAGCCCAGGAAGATAAGTAATTAACCATCAAAATTGTTATTTTATTATATTTAATGATTGATTAATTTCATATTATTTGCGATTAAAAGTGTTAAATTCCTTAATTTTCTAGTTTGATATTTTTTCTAGTTGTTTGGTTTATTTTGCAGGTAAATTGGTTGATTTAAAGTAATAATGGATAATGCAAGTAAATCAATCGCTAGAGGAAGAATCATAACTGATAAGGATTGAAGAGTAAACATTGAAATAGGAAGACTTGAAGATATGACAGTATTTAATCCTTATAAGAGTCAAAGTTGGAAGAAAACTCATTTAAAGTTGGATTAGAAAAGTATCCTAGAAGATAAGGATTTGACACATCTTCAGTATTTTGGTCAAAACTTTTGACTTTGATATCCGATTTACTTGATTTTTGGGGTTGAAAAGAAGACTTCAAGGACTACAAAAGTATATTTCACGAAATTTTCTTGATTCAACCTCTAAATATGAGGAATTCAAGCTCGAAGTCTTGACAAATTTTGTATCCGCGCGCCCAAAAATTTTATGCACAGAATTTAACCTTACAAAACTTCTTTTTTGGAAAAGAATTCATTTCAACATGTACTTACGATTTATTTTGAGTATAAATAGAGATTCTCATTTAGAGATTATTATTCTTTTTTTTCATCTTTTTATTTTTATTTTGGTTTGTCATGTCTGGCTAGAAGGCTAAGATAGGGTTAGGGGAGAACCTCTCAATGAAGTACAGTAATGTTATTGATTCTGAGTTTAATGATTATGATATTTTGTTAATTTAACTTCTGATCTTACGGCAAAGTTTTTGTTCTGTAAAAATTTTTGAGTCGTTGTGTCATGTACATCGATTGCTTCAATTTTTCTGCGAGTAAATAACTGGTTATTTCACGCTTGAGGTAATTATTATTATTTCATAAAATAATATAATTGGTTGATTATTCAGGTTCCTAAACAATCTTTTAATTATAACTTTAGAATTTCTTACTTGATATGTTACTTGAATTAACCGATATCTGATTCTTGTCTCAAGTTAAGATTTGAGTCTTTAATCATTATTGTACGGAATTGAGAGGGAGTACCTAATGCTCTAGTATTATTATTACTGTTTTAATTATTTAAATCAACTTTCTTTGCTCAACAATTCCTTAAACAAATCAGTTATTTTTAAGTTTGTTTTAGTATTTGTGTGATTGCTTTCTTGTTACAATTCCTTGAGAGTTCGACATCGGTCTTCCGAGAAATATATTACTTCACTCAACCTGCGCTTGAGTTTACAATATTAAAGTTGAAGCAATAAGAGCACGTGGAATATAAATTATCGAGATATACACTCATGAAGATCAATTTTATCTTAATTGTACTTACCAAAGAAGTAGTGTTCTCTCACTCACGTCACTGCCTCACTAAACCTATATATTGTAAGTTCTCTCCACATGGAAAGGCATCTCATCTCTCACAACACACCTCTCTGCACCTCCCTACATACATAGTTTTTCTCTCCTTACTAGTATAACTTTCTCGAAGCATACTCTCCCAGAGCTCTCTCTCTATAACTTTGTTCATCAATAAAGACTTTCGGCTGCCGTTTTTCGAGAATGGAGTAGGTGTTAGAGATATTGCAGAATCCTCTGCTGTAGAATCTTCTGCTGTAGGATCCTCTACCATATCCTCTGCCATATTTCATGTTGATTCTCTGGATTCTCCAGACAATACTTGACTAATTTAGGATTCCTTTGTACTGTAATTTAGGATGCCTTAGTGGATATAATTGGCAGATTTGTACAACTCTTGCACAGCTAGTTTTCTATACTTAAATGTACTGAATCTCTCTATATAATGAAATTAACCAAAGGGCTCGGTATGATTTTGTACCGCCTGTTATCTTACATGGTATCAGAGCCTTCACAAACATCTAGTTTTGCCATTAACATTCCTATGGCGCACTTTGATTCTTTTTCCAAGCAACAACCTAATTTCCCTACTTTGAATGTTAGACTGTCTGGCCCTGAATGACTACCTTGGATGGGTGGCTATGTTTCTGCCAGTACTTCGAAGCCATAACCTTATTGGCTTTGTTGATGGATCTAAACTGGCTCCTATGCAGTTTGTTCATGAAGCTACAAGGACTGCGAGTACTACCAATCCAGAATATGTCAAGTGGTATAATTTGGATCAAACTGTGCTCACTTGGATATTATCTACTCTGGCACCATCCTTACTTTCTTCTATGTATGGATTGAACACCTCACAGGCGACTTGGGAATCAATTACTACTAGATTTGCTTCCCAATCCAGGTCTCCGATAACTCACCTCAAGAAGCAGTTGCAGACTTTGCAGCAAGGTAACCTTCGATATTATGAGTATCTCACCCAAGCTAAGCTTTTCGCAGATCAACTCTCGGCCTTAGGACAACCAGTCTCAGATGATTATTTTATTTCATATGCCACCAATGGCCTTAATCCTCATTTTTCTAGTTTTATCACTCCTTTAACATTTTCCCTGCGACATCAAACCATGACCTTCGCTAATTTTCAGTCTGAATTACTCAAATATGAGATGATGCTTGATCAACTCAATCGGCAGACAGTTACCCCTGAAACTAGCATTGTTGCATTCTACTCAAACAGGCCTAGTTGTTCAAAGGCTCCACGTAGGCACCGTTTTCCACCAGCACCTCATGCAAGGCCTAACTATGGTAGGTCAAATAATCTTAGGCAGGGTAATATACCCTCTG